TACATTCTAATTAGTATCCAGAAAAACTTTCTCCAAACACAGTTCAAAGAACCCACTTCCACAGGAGAAATTGATTTCCCTTCTTCATTTTTCATTCTCTTACCAAATACCTAAATCCATTCTTTAATGGAGCCAAAGGTGAGAAGATATTGGGGATAGACTGGATCTTGGGACAACACCCAGATGCAGGTTAGAGAAAACTAGAATGCATTTCTAACCCTGAACTAAAGAGGTTTCCACCACCATGCTTTTGGTCATTCTGTACTAGATAGGATGTGGTGAAAGGGGGACCAGTAACATCTCCGGTCTTGAACTCTCAAATCTGAATTGAGCTCTCATATAAACAAGACTGGATGGAGGTTGGTTCTGATATAGTATCAATAAGAAAGAGAAGGGCCAATGTAGCTCTCACATCAACACATCTTCCCAAGTGCAGGTCTGTGCACACCAGGGTCAAAGTTTGTCATGAGATAGGCTGGATCCCCCAACAGAACTGGGATTTGGCATGTGAAAACAGAATTCAAAGACATGATGGGACTTTCCCAACAACCTAGCCCAGTGATGCACACACACTCACACAAACATATGCACATACACAGATGACACAGAGTCCAGTATGGGCTCCAACTCACAGTGACTTCATGAAACTGAGCTGGTCTGAGATGAGTTGGGAAGAAGGCTGTGGGCTCCTCTCCCTGAGGACAGTGCAGATGCTCAGTGGGATGCAGGCTCTGGTTTGATCAGAGAGGGATTGGAAACAGCATCATGGGATGCCGCCCCAGAGGGGAATCCCTGAGTCCTTCCATCCACTTGAAAGAACCAGATGCCTAAGGACAGGTCAATGACAGGAGGAAGGGAGGGCCCAGAGAAGCCAGGACTATAATGAGAGCTGTGCATGCTCTCAGAGGCTTTTGACTCTGACCCTCTGAGCACGAACTGCTTCCTTACTCTATACCAAGGCATCCCATTTCTGATGTCACAGCAGTCTACCCCTCTCTCCCCAATCTCGCACAGTGAGAGCTCCCTGACTCCAGTAGAGGGGAAAAAAAGCAGAAACTCTGCTCCCAAAGCAGAGTGGAAGCAGCAAGCAGCAAGCAGCCAGCTAAGGCAAGGGATCTCAGATTCACAAGGCCAGGGTATGGAGTGCCTCAACATTGCCCATAACTTAAGTGTGCTGACCATATCCCCTACTTAAGGGAGGGCACAGGTGCAGGTTCTTACCTACCCAGCACTGAAAACTCCATGGGACAAATGGGGTGGGAAGATGGCCCTCATCCCACATCCTGTTTGTGCTGGAAAAAAAATTGATGAATGACATCACTTTAATCTAGTTCCCTCTGTGACTGAGAGGGTTGAGGGGTGGAGACAGAACCAGAAGGGAAATGAGGGAGTCAGGAGGCATGGCATCAACTTCCACCATGACTCTCTCGACTTCCTGCCCAGTACCCTCCCACCTCAGTCCTTTTCCTGGGCAGTGCTGTCTTCAGAGATACCCTGGGCAGCTAGTTCAGCCAGCACATTATCCAGGTAATTGGCATCCGGGTAACCATGGCCAGTGAGATTGGAGCCAAATTCTGTCTTGTGGTGCACCTCATTCCAGATGACAGTATCAGACTCGCCCGTGGTGCTGGAGGTTCCAATGGCAAAGATGAGACGACGATCCCAGGCCACCAGAAGCAGCTTCAGAACCTGGGGCAACGAAGTTGAGAGACCACAGGCAGAGGTTGAGTACTGGTCTTCAGATGGTGGATTCATCCCGAGGCCCCCAACCCTTTCCTCATCATGATGCTCTAAGCAACTCAGAAGAAGAGAAAGAGATCTAAAATTGGAGCCTGGGCACTATAGCGTGAACCTCAACTCTGTCATCGAATAACTGTGTAACTTCTGACTACTTTAAACATCTTTCTGAGCTTTAATTTGTTTACTTATCAAACAGCAATGGAATCACCCACCCCAAAGGTTGTATGCATGCGTAGCATAGCATATGCGCGTGTCTGGGTACACACCACTATATGTGTGTGCATTTGGAGGCTATTGGACGAAGCTGCGTGCTTCACTGGAGTGCTCTCTGCCCATTTTCTTTTTTGAGACAGGGTTCTCATTGAACCATCATTAGTAAGTGGCAGAACTGAAAAGTATGAGACAGCTTCAAAGACCTTGTTGTTATTATACCCAACAAGGTTAGGGTCATGGACCTGAGGCTATGAAGGCCACTTACTAATAATGGTATTGCTAAGGGAATTGGTGAGAAGAGATGGTTTACATCTATATCGTAAGGTGGAGACTTTTTATGTTAAGCCAAGACAGTGTGCTTTGTAAGGAGGAAAGGGGAAGGTCATTGAAACATCTAAGTATTACTCTAAATTTTAATTACTCTTAAACAAAGGTGCTTGATGCCAGAAATTGTTTTTCCTGACGTGGTGTCAGGACAAAAGATGAAGCAGTCTCCTGTAGGATTAGCAGAGGATTAAGTGGCTTGGAAGGCAATGCAGGGAGGAATAATGAGCTCAGTGTATTTAGTCACTGAAAGCAAGACTTCAAGATGGTGAATGTGCATAGCCTGGGTCCCAAGGATTTGGGGTCTGTTGCTGCATGAAGAGGAAGGTCTAGAAGGAGAGTAGCTCTGTAGTCTTGTGCTTGTTGGAGATAGTCTCTGGTATCCCAGCCTAGCCTCAAACTTAATGGATTCAGTGCTGAGAATACAGGCAAGTGTAAGGTGTTTGGTTAGAAGTGCAGAGGATGGAAGCCAGGATTTCCCACATTCTAGGCAAGTGTTGTACCAATTGAACCACATTCCCATCCCACAACTGTAGTCTTAACAGCAGACTTTACAGTGGGGACCTTTACCAGAAGATCTTGGGCTGAGGCACAGAAATTTGTCTCTTGGTGGAGACAAATTCTCTTTCTCATTAATTCTCATTCTCAATTTGAGAGCAGGGCACTAGTGCATCTTTCTTATGTTGCCCTTGTTACAAACTATCCTTTCCTCCCTTGGAAGGACAGCACACACCCACACCACTTGACATTGAAGTCCCATTAATTCTCATTCTCAATTTGAGAGCAGGGCACTAGTGCATCTTTCTTGATGTTGCCCTTGTTACAAACTCTCCTTTCCTCCCTTGGAAGGACAGCACACACCCACACCACTTGACACTGAAGTCGTATGGAAAGATAGGGTATTATGAGATTACAGGGAGGAAATGGAAGCCCCTTCTCAATGGAGTCTGGTTGAAACTTCCGGCCAGCTGAAAATCAAGAATTCCAGCACAATTTACATTTGGTGTAAAGGTTACACAAATAGAGATGTTTCTTTTATAGAGATATATTTTCAAATAAGAATGTTAAAATAGCAATAAGCCAGACTTAAGGGTGGGATATACAAAACCTTGAGTAAGAATATTTTCCTGGCTACTTTCTGGGAATCTCAAACTGTTAATTTTGTTCATCATGAAGACACTCTGCTTTCCTGTATCCCTGTGGTATAGAGTTTTCCTTAGCAATTGGAATCCTGTCAGATGCCCTGTAGGACCACTCTATGGTTTCCGTTTATGTTTCTTGGAAACTCTCCAGTCTGGCTTCCAAAGCAGGAAGACACATGGGAAGTGTGCGGGTAAATGCTCATGCATCCCCTAAATCCATGTGACCTCCTATCACTGCCTCTAAAGTGGGTATTAGAATATGGAACTTTCTGGGGTTCATTAGGTCATGAAAATGAATGTCAGTAAATGAGATTCTTATAAAAAGGGACTGGGAAGACAATTCTTGTCCTTTCTCCCTGGAGAGGACACAGAGAGAAGAGGCTTTGTCTATGAGCAGGAAGAGAACCCTTGCCAGATTCAGAATCTGCCAGCACCTTGATCTTGGACCTCCTAGACCCCAATACTGTAGAAAGTAAATACCTGCTGTTCATAAGCCACTCTGTCTATGGTCTGTGGCAGTTTGCTGGAACTCAGATAGGCTCACAAATGACTGAACTTTGACACACCATGGCAACATAGCCATTAACACTTAAAATGCAGAAAGACAGACATGTGTTGAGTAGGCTTCTCAGATCTAGAAAGGAAGCTGACTAAAAGCCTGCCTCTTGCATTTCCCCAACATGTCCCCTAGACTAATGTTCTTAGTCCTCTTGGCATCAGAATGAAAATCCTGTCATTCCAATTAGAATATTTAGAAGTCTTGATGATGAATTAAAAAGAATCCAGAAAATAAATAAAATAATTAGCCACCAATTAGACTAATGTTCTTAGTCCTCTTGGCATCAGAATGAAAATCCTGTCATTCCAACTAGAATATTTAGAAGTCTTGATGATGAATTACTAAGAATCCAGAAAACAAATAAAATAATTAGCCACCAATTAGGATACCAGAACACCTAGCTCATGCTTTTGAGTGTGTTCAGAATAGAACAGCCAGGATACCGAGAAGATGATATGGGTTCCAGCTCGGAGTTTCTGTTAAGCTCTTAGGAGTTATCACTAGTGTTTCTCCAGGACCAGCTTTAAACAGCAGGGCTCTAGATAAAGATCCTATAATAGGTGGATTATTGCCAATAATACCCTGAGGAGAGGGGTAAAGCCATTCCACTCCCAACCTCCTGTAAAAGTATTCTAATCAGACCGGTAGGATGGCTTAGTGGGCGAAAGCACTAGCTATGCAAGTCTGATGACCTGAGTTCAGATCCCCAGAACCCACGCTGAAAGATGGATGCAGTGGTGCACATCTGTAATCCTGACACTCCTGTGGGGAGATGGGTGGCAGAGACGGAAGCTTTCAGGCCAGCTAGTTTGGAGTAGGCCATACAGCAGCAAGAAACAAGAGAGGCCCTGCCTCAAAACAAAGGTGAGAACTGACAACTGGAAGTTGACCCAAACTTCTGTATGTACACTGTGGTACATGAGTGCCTGCAATCCCATAGACAACATGATACAGCAGCAAGAAACAAGAGAGGCCCTGCCTCAAAACAAAGGTGAGAAATGACACCTGGAAGTTGACCCAAACTTCCGTATGTACACTGTGGTACATGAGTGCCTGCAATCCCATAGATAACATGTAACACACACACACACACACACACACACACCAAAGCAACATCCTAATGATACTAATTCTTATCTATGGTTGATTCCGATGTGACCTTATTACTGCATATACACAATTTGTGCTTTGCAGAAACAAAATCAATCCCTACCCCTACTACAGAACACCTGCTCTTACCTTTCTCCCTTTCTCACTGTCTGGAAGGTAGCAATGTCGTGGGAAGCCACGGGCGCTGAAGCTTTTCCCGGGATTTGGGTGTTCTGGTCCCTGAAAGCAGAAAGAAAACAAAGGCATCTTGCAAAAACATTTCTGATGAGAAACTAATACAGGCTTAGTGGGACAATAACAAGAGCCACAGAGTTCACACAGAGGACAAGCCAAAAAAAAAAAAAAAAAAAAAAAAAAAAAAAAAAAAAGTCTAAGTTGTTACACATCATGTGACCTGAGTTTGGCCTGCAGCTGCTAGCTCCCAGCTGGAATCTATGGAATTCCCCTCTTTGGTAAGAGTGATTTGGAATACTCACCTTATGGGGTGTTACCAATGCTCAGGGAGGGTACAGCAAATTTTATCATCATCAGTACCAACACTACTTATGCACTGTTTTGTGAATGATGAAAACCACAGCCCACAGAAGCTAACCGGCTTTGCCAGAAATAACCTAATCCCAGGTTTTCTGAGGCATGTGCATTGGACTTTCAAAACAATTACTTAGAATAATAAAGTTCTCCAAGCTACATGCAGTCAGAGTTTTCTGCATGATTCTTGTGGATTTTCTCCTTTGTCTTCATGGGTTTTGCTTCCTTACTCAACAACACAGACGGCAATGTTCAGGACAGAGAGTCTTGTGGCACTTAAGCTATCATCACCCAATATTTTATTACCCAAGCCGTCTCAGGACACTGGGTAGGAAAGACATCCAAGGAGAACTGAGTCAGAACCCAGACGCTATGGTACTGCATATGGTTTGTTCCTCCAAAACTCTTGCTGGAATTTGGCCTCCAATGCAGCCTTGTGGGCAGCTGGGGTGTGGAAGAGGCGATGAGATTGTCAGAAGGGATGAATGTCTCTCTTCAGAGAGTTCTCATCTTGCCCTCAAGGGACCGGGTTAGTTGCTGTGAAAGCATGTTGCTTACAAAGCAAGGCTGCTCTCCTCTTTTTGTCCTCCTCTTCTGAATGCATCTGCTTGTCTATTTGCTGCCATGACCTGAGGTACCAGGAGACCTTGCCCAATGCAATCAGCATTATATTCACAGTCAAGAGCATAGAGCAACGATTTAATACATGCATGTCAGACTCATTTTCTCCACTCTTACACATTACAGAGCCCCTTTCCTAGGGAATGATGGCACTCGCCTCAATTAATGTAATAAAGAAATTCCCCCACAGTCAGGCCTATAAACCAAACTAACACATACAACCCCTCATGGGATTCTCTCTTCCAGGGCGATTCTCAATTGTGTCACATTGACAGAGTTATCACAGGCCCCAACACATTCATTGGCCCCTTTGAGAAGTTTATGAAGTTTGACACAACAGGTTTCCACCCATGAGAATGCTTGTATATCATTTCTGAACATTCCTGACCCCTTGGAAGCAGAACCTTATTTAAAACTCTGTATAAATCCAAGTCATAGAATATTGACAATTCTATGCAGCTGTTTGACATGCTTTCCCAAAGATCAATAAATACATGCCAGCTATGTAATGAGTGAGCAAATGAATGAATGAATTGAATGAATGAATGAAATTAAATTCATTGGGTCAAAAGAAAGGAGTGGGATTGCTGGGCAAGAGGGAGGAGTATGAGGGCAACAGGGATTGAAAATGCTCTAACCCAGTGTACACATGTATAAAACTGCCAAAGAGTAAAAATATTAAAAATTTCTAAAGTATATTCTTATTTTTCTTTGATAATTCTATATATCTACAAAGTATATTTTGAGCATAGAAAAATGTTTAAAAAATATACAAATGTCACTCTGAGCTAAAAGAAGAGTGACATTCTTATGGAGTAAAAGAATCTGACAGTTATAACTTCACATTCAGACTAAATCTTCACATCCAGACAAACGCACAACATTCCCAGGACCACACTTCTCTAAGCCAGGCCTCATCACTGAGGAACCAAGCCTGACCATAGCTCCAACTGCTTCTCTGATGCCTGGGGCTGCTGGGTGTGTGCCCAACTCAGCCTGTCTGGCACTGACCCAGTAAGGCTGTGCATTCTGGGCCTGACGCCAGGTAGAGCAGTCACGACTCTGCCTCAGCCTGGCCCACGGCTTCTCCCAAAGGGACGCACTTTCTGCAGTGAAAGTGGAGCCTGAAGAACTCAGCTCACCGAAGCCCAAGCCTGCATCATCCCTGGAGCTTCAAGGGACACAGCACCGAACATCTTGCTACTGACTTACGGTAGCAAGTCTGCAGAGCATCTGACTGTTTATAGATGCATTTCCTTTCACAAGCCAGGGTGTTGCTGGAGGTGCTAGAGCCCTGTACTGGCCATTCTACAGAGACTCTCTCTCTGTTCCTTAAACCTGGAGGCTTAAAAATATGGCCTTCTCAATGGATGCCCCTTGACTGTTAGCTCTACTTTGACCCCTGGTGGACTCTTTTCATTTTCTTTTTAAGGTGTGTGTGTGTGTGTGTGTGTGTGTGTGTGTGTGTGTGTGTGTGTGCGTGCGCGCGCGCGCGCGCCTGTGTGCCTGTGTGCCACAGGACACCTTGCAGGAGTCAGTTCTTTCCTTTTCTCCCTGGGTTTCGGGGATTGAACTTGGCTTGTCAGGACTGGCTCTCAGCTGTCATGATGGCAGCAAGCACCCTTACCAGTGAGCCATCTGGCCAGCCCACTCGCACATTTTATTCTTCCTTACCACACCAACAGCTGCCTCAGGACCATTCTACGAGTCTCTCCTGAGCAGCAGCCAATTGTATCTTCCTTCCTTCCCTGGCCCTTCCCTTATTCAGGAGCCTGAACTGCTGCAGTGGTCCTATTCCCACTCACCTGTTCTTAAGTCACAACAGCTTCTTAAAGCTCAATTCAATTACATGATGTTTTATAAACCTAATCAGATAAGCAATCTCCAGGGGCTCCCCATAGTCTAAGTCTTCATGCCTGGTCCTGGCATTCAAGGCCTTCTGTGACCCCTACACCCTCAACAGTTCTTCCTTGCCGTTTTTTGCAAGTCTGAGCTCCCAACCTCCCAATTGAATAAATTCGACAAATGTCCATAAGCATGCAATTTTTCTCTAGAACTGTTACCTCCTCCAGCTAAATCTGTACTCTGCATTTCTTTATGTCTTTCACGGCTTCACTAGAGAGTGTCATGAACCAGAGAGTCTCCTCCCACCTTTCAGATAAACCACCCATAAACACTTCCTCCTCAACCTGATATCTCAGCCAATCAGACAGCAGTAAGCAAGGTCCTGAGCCCCCTGAGAGTGGGCCCTGAGATGTACAGACAGATAGGATCTCCCACCCTTGGCCCTCTGCCTAGCAGATTCCCAGCAGTACAGATGAAAAAAAAAAAAAAGTAAATCTAGGAGGAAGCAGGCACCTTTAAGACAGGAAGTGAGACCTGGGGTCATAAGACTTTGAAGCTCTGCACTTCCCTTTGTCCGTGTCACTTTCATCACTGGTGCATATCCGTTTCTGCTCTCCAGACTAGGAGTGAAAGGTATTTTTTTTTTTTATCTTGCTCTGCCTGGTTACCAAGTGCCCCAGGGAAGACGCATGTTTTATGAACTATCACACTTTTTTATTTCCTCGTAACTTTCCATTATGTGGATGTACTTTGTCATTCATTTGTTTATCATCCTCCTGGCCCCAGTGGGGACTTCCGGGATCAAAGACTGCACCAATTCAAACTCTGTTTTACCAGTACTTAACACACACCTGGGCATAACCCACACGCAAAGATTTGCCAGACAAAGGACAAGCAGGAAGACACAGGAGGAGCGAGAGAGGCTGAGCTAACCGATGTTTGCTAAGGGATGAGTCCGAGCTGCTCCCCAGAACACCTAAGGCCCCACTGTGTGAGGGAAGGGCTGAACTGCACTGACTCATGGGATTACTAGTCACATTGGTCCTGAGGGCTGACTGTTTTTCAAATACCAGGGAGGAAAGAAATGCCACCAAAGACAAAAAGTATAAACATCAATTTTTTAAAAAACACTAATAAATAACTGTTTGGCCAAGACATTCTGCTTCCAGGACATTGTCCTTCAGATATGGTCACAGGTGTGCTGGGTTATTAGTGATAACATTATCTGCTGTAGCAAAAGATTGCAAACAATAGAAACAGACAGCTAATGGAGGTGCTAGATTAGATTATATATACACTGGATTATTACACAGAAACAGAAAGAGTACATGCTATACAAACACAAGGTGCATATTGTTAGCTGAAAGAGGCAGAGGGTGAAACAATGTGCTCAAATGTAGCTCTTTGTGCAAAATAGGAGGGGAGGAGGCAGTCTACACCGAGTATCCACACAAAGAACGCTGGAAGGATACAGAAAAACAAGGACAATGGTAGAGAAGGGGGAGAACCAGGGGAGTGAGACACAAGATGGGGACAGGAAGGGAAGGAGGCTTTTGCTAGTGTAATACTTTACTGCCAAACATTCAAAGTTGAAATAATAAGTGGACCATCCAAGGGTGGGCTCACCTGAATGCCAGGTGGGATACTGTAGATAATCCGGATGGTTTTGCAATCTGGATGGCCAGGCAAGGAGTGGGGGATGAGGTGGTATTCCATCTTTCCTGGAGGCTGGGTGCCTGTCTTGACACCATAAATGGTCTTACATGTTGGACACTGTAAACTCCCATCCTAAGGAAACAAATTCCAGGATAGCCAGATTAGGAAACTACTTTGTTCATGACCTTCCCCGAAACCCCTTAAAGCACCAGAGACCAGTCTCAAGAGACAAAACTCAGCCAGCGGATAACAGACCTGAAACCCTCTCTAGTTACTTAAGCCACATAGGCTTTCTCTAAAATAACTGGAAGAAAATGACACATGTAGCGGAGATGCTTAGATGAGACACCTCTGTCCTTGAAAGGAAGTGCTAACTAGGGCAGGAAGCCCTACACAGGGAATTGCAATTTAACATGGGTGGAACACACAGTAACTGCTCAAGAGCAACAACTGCTCAACTGCTGAGTCCCAGATGCACCCAGGAAACTTTCTAAAGTTAAAGACATCTGGACCCCACAACAGGCCTACTGAGTCACAACTGGGAGCCGGAGAAGTGCAGAAGTTCAGAGTGTGAGCTTTAAGGTAATGCTGCCTAGATTTGAGCCTCAGCTTTGCCTTGTAGCCTTGGACAAATGAATCTGTCTCAATTTCCTTTTAGAACAAGAAATATAATCATCCTCTTTCACTGGGCTAATGAAAGTTAAGTGAGATACATAAAGTGTTTCGAATATGTCATATTTAAATGCTACTAGTGTGCTTATGATATCTGTGGAGAGACAAATGCTTGGAAAGGAACAAAATTGGCTTTAAGGAAAATGGGCAGTGGTGGTGCACGCCTTTAATCCCAGCACTCGGGAGGCAGAGGCAGGTGGATCTCTATGAGTTCCAGGGTAACCAGGTCCACAGATCAAATTCTAGGACAGCCAGGACTGTTACACACAGAAACCCTTACTGGGAGGGGGGAGGCGGGGGCGGGGAGAGAAGGTTCTTAAAAACAGTTATAAATTGGCTTTAGCTGGGAAGGAACTGAGATTCCCTTTAAGAGAAAAAGTATCGGAGGGACTTCAATAGTGAAGTGCTTGTCACCAGTGAGGCTGGAATTCCAGTGAAGCCCCTAAATTGCCCTACCTTCTGCCCTACACCACATAGCAGGTCATCACAGGTCTGTCCCTCAAGGCTCACGGATTTGAGGGCTGGCTGCTCACTGATGAGCCTCTGTAGAGTGACTGGATAATGAGGACTCAAACCTCATCAGCAGATGAAGCTACTGGTAGAGTGATTTGATGGCAGCCAGGAGGTTTGAAGGGCAGGAAGAAAAAGAGGCAACGAAGGGAGGGGGACACACACAGAGGCCACAGACTATATCCCTGAAATGATGGGCCAAAACAAACTAAGTAACTAAAAACAAGAACAAAACCATTCCTTCCTTTTCTGTTGTTTGCCCATGTATTTTGTCATAGCTATAAACACTGACTTGAACATGTGTCACGGAGACAGTAATGTAAACGGTTGTGACTTCGCAGCAGGATCTAGTGAAGTGTCACCTGGTAGGGCTGATGATAACTGGCAAGAGGTCCCAGACAGCGAAGGGAATTCCGAGCTTCACAGAAAAGGGAGGGGAGTAGGGAAGGAAGCTCACATGGGCAGCAAGCAGAATGTGGTACTGCTCAGCTGGGACCAAGGCCCTGGCAGACAGACACCTGGAGTCTTTTGGAAGGAGACGAGACCTTCTCAGAGCCTCTTAGGCATGTTTCTATCCAAGCTTGGCTCGCTTTAAGTAACAGCTCATATTCATAGTCACCGCTGTCTGAAACCAGGGTCCTGCTTTCTCCACTAGCCTTAATTTGCTTCAAGGCCTGGGGCGAATGAGTCCATTCTCTCCCTTGCTTTTCTTCAATGGGCTTGAGAGAATAAAAATGATTCAAAGCAACACTGAAAGGGAGAACAAAGGATAGTGGCTTGAGAAACACGTTTGGAGCCCTGCAGACATATACATGGAGTTACTGGGAAGTCTTAAAGAGTCATCCAAAGGGGAATAAATGTGCTAAGACAGCCTAAAAATTCCAAATAACCTCTCAAAAGGTGAGGTTCTAATAAAAGATTTCAGCCCTGGGCTATGAAAGAGAACATGGAACCTTTCACCAATGATGAAGGGCATCCGGAAGCCTTAGCCTCTGGGACACCAATGAAGATGTCAAGGTTAGCAATTCAACCCCAATGCAAAGATGAAAGGAGGAAATGAGAGCAATAATAAAAAGGAGATGCCATTTTGAGTAATAACAGCCATAACATCTGTCAGCAGCCATTGGTCTGGAGGGATGGCACAGAAGGTAAGCAGCTTGTTTACAAGCACTGAGTCGGATCTCTAGAATGTCAGGAGTGGTGGCATGCACTTATAACCCTGGTGCTGGAGAGGTGGAGACAGGAGGATCCGTGGCACTTGTTGGCCAGCCACCCTAGCCTAAATCATGAGCAGTGAGACATCCTTGTCTCGAAAGACGTAAGTAGTGTTCTAGAGCTAACACCAGAAGTTGTCCTCCAGCCTCCTCATGAACATACACAATAAGAACACACACACACACACACACACACACACACACACACACACACACACACAGGGAGGAGGAGCAGCAGCTACTGTTTTAGCTCTACTTTTGAAATGGAAAGTGAAATCTTGAAGAAGTTTAGAGTCATTCAGCTCATAAGCCATGATTTCCACACAGGTGTGCTTCCTGTCATACCTCCCCTGCTCTTCCCCACTACATAGGACAGAAGGAGAAGTCCCTAAAATCCAGACATGTTCTTGGGTGAGTAAGAAGTTGAGAGACATCATGGAAATCTCAGATTTGAGTTGTACGAAAACTCACGGGGAACAGGGGTGACGGGTAGTTCCAGACACAGACAAGAATGCAAGTCAATGACTTCAAAAAGCTCAGATCCTGAAAAGGGAAAATCGTCACTTAGGGAAAACACCCAGATTTCTGAAACCAACTATAACCCTAAGTCAGTTAATGGAGAGAAGCCCTGTCTCATCTTCTGACAGTTGATACTGTGGTGGGGATTACCAAGAACTCTGACAATGCCTTTGCAGGGACAATCAAAGGTGTTTTGACATTGTCCAGAGAAGATGAATTTTAACTTAAACCACTGGCATGAAGAATAGAAACTATTGAGAGCCCACTTGCAGTGTCATGAATGAAGAAATTCTCACTATGGGAGCAGCACTGTGATGAAGGCCTCCTTTACCCAGTGGGGGACCATTTCCCTGAGAACCTTCATGAACAAAGCTCACCTCTGTCAGACCATCATACATACCCAAATTAGAGATGAAGGGAAGCTTAACCCAAAGGGAAAATGAAGACAGACTTTGCAATATGGGGCTAATTAATCCTGAAAACAGCAAAAATGCAAACAGTGAAAATGTTCATTCCTGCTGCCCTGAGGTATAGGTTAATCCCGATGGTCAACCTGATGGGATTCAGATTTACCGGGGAAACATACCTCTAGCCATGGCTGTGAGGAGTTTCTAGACTGGGTTGTAGCAACCTAAATGTGAACAGCTCCATTCTATGGCCTGAAGTCCTGAACTAAATAAGAAGGAGAAAGTGCGCTGAGCACCTGCATCCATCACTCTCTGCCTCCTAACTACAAAGGGACATGGACCAGCTACTTCCAGCTCCTACCACCACCATGACTTCCTCACCACGACAGGCTGTCTTAAACTGTGAGCCAAAACAAACCCTTACTTCCTTAAATTGCTTCTGCCAGTAGTTTGTCACAGCAGTAAGTAAAGTAGCAAATATACCCGAAGAACCGGTTACATGTTCCAGACCATTTTGTGGGAGAACAAGGACACTTAGGAACTAATCATGGCTGACTGCCCCCAAACCCACAGACACTAACCTTGTTCCCATTGTTGTACATGGCCACCAGGCAGTAGACGTGGTAGATGTGGCCACACCTGGACAGCTTTCCCACCACGTCAGGCTTGACTGTAGGCTGTGGGCCCTTGTAGCCAGAGGGCGCTGTGAGACGCTCCATACAGATGGTACAGTCCTGGTAGATGAAGAATAAGAGAGGCATCAACTTTCACCCAGCCAGGGAAGCCAGAGCATCATGGTTCTTGTATGATGGCAGGCATCAGACGAGTGGTTCACCCCTCTTCTATAAAGGCCACAAATCAGGGGTGCTGTGTTGGGGGAGGGATTCTAAATATAGTCTAAATGTGTCTTGCTTCACACAGCAGAGAAATTTCTTCAAATAATTCCCGTACATGTTAAACTTGGACTCATTGACTAATTATAATCTTGATGCAACACTGCCCTTGCTTGGTGTCTCCAGTTGCTTGTCAAGAGATACGGTGACAAGCTCTGCTTATGCGCCATGCCTGTAAAGGTATTGTATTGCAAATGTATTAGAGGGGGCTTGCACCTAAACAAATCTAAGGCCTATTTCCCAATGCTAACATTTGACATTGTGGTAGAGCGATGCTTTGCTGTGGATACTGTTTCAGGCCTTACAGGGTTTTCAGAAGTTCCTCTGGTTTCTACCCACTAAATGCTAGCAGCACACTCGCTCGTCAATCACCACAACGCAGAGAATGCCCACACAAGGCCACATGTTCCCTCAGGGGTAATCCTTCCGGCTGAGAATCACTGGTCCATATCAAATCCATTCTAGAGGGAATTCACATGGCTTGGCACACTGTTTTGCTTAAGCTCAGACCGGCATGGAGAGCAGCTTAGAATCATTTAGAATTCTGTAAATAGGGCAAGTTAAACGGTGACTGCAGCTTGAAACCTTGAACCTTGAAGTGAAGGCATCAGCTAAATCTGCTCTGTGCCAGCCCGGACTTAGAAAGCAGCACCTGCCACACCCTGTGCAACATGGGGACAGAGGACATGAACTTGGTGATGGAAAAAGTGAACCCTGACCTAGGTCCCCTGAACTCACCTCTTCTGGGGGGTGCCGGACCTTCTGCAGATATTTCTTTAGCACTTCCTCTGGGGTTTTACCTATGGGGACAGGAGAGTCACTATGTCACAAGGCAAAGGAGACAGGATCAACTAGCCTTGCCATCCTATGTGCTTCAGAGAGAAGAGTGAGAGGCCAGTTCAAAGAGAAAAAGGGTTGTGAGGCAGCTGAGTCAGTAAAGTGCTTGCCTCACAAGAATGAGAACCTAAGTTTGATCTCCAGAAACCAGGTGAAAAAGCCAAGATCTCTGCGAGTTTGCTGACAGCACTCTAGCATAACTGGTAAGCCCCCATGCAAATAAGAAACCCTGCCTCAAAAAGCAAGGTAAATGGCATCTAAAGAATGATACTGAGGCTGACCTTTGGTCTCCATGTATAGACTTACATACACGCTTGCAAACACACACACACACACACACACACACACACACACACACGGGGGTAGGGGGCAAAGGGAGGGAGGGAGGAGAGGAGAAGGGAGGAGAAAAGGGGGTCAAATTATTTTTGCAATGGTTTAAGGAGCATGGATGAGAATAGATGACACACACACACACACACACACACACACACACACACACAGGGGTAGGGGGCAAAGGGAGGGAGGGAGGAGAGGAGAGGGGAGGAGAAAAGGGGGTCAAATTATTTTTGCATTGGTTTAAGGAGCATGGATGAGAATAGAGGATGCCCCAGATCAGAGTGGCTTGAAGAAGGATGATGTTCCTATCTGCCTTGACCTCTTCCAGCCCACTCTCTGACATGTCTGCCTATTTCAGCAAATCAGCATTTTCACTGATATAAACAGAGTTTCTCTTCCTGATAACCAAAGAGCCTAGCCTTGCCCACATGATCCCTTGAGAAGAGAGAAATGAAAACACTTTGCACTGCTCCACAAACACGAGTCAGTCGGGTTACATTCCTTCAACGACTTGTTAAGCCCTATCTCAGTTTTGTAACATGGTGTCACCGTCAAATTATTTTTATGGGAAAGCAGGAAGTTGTGACCCCCAGTTTCAGGACAATCCTTCCTGGCTTCCACTAGTACTGTTCCTGCCAGGAGATGCAGTCCAGCCGTGGGGAGAGGGTTAGGCTCCGGGAAGCATACTAAGAGCCACAGGAGTTAAGGATCTTCAGGCGCTGGATCCTTGGGAAATAAGCTAACCTGAAGGCAGAGGATAGGTTCCCACTGGTTTACAAGAAGCCGTGGAACCTTGGGCTATTCCCCTGATTCCTCCAAGTTGTTTTCTCACCCATAAAATAAGGACAATTGATAGCACCTACTGCAGTGGGTGCTGTGACGACTAATTAGCTGATGGCTGCACAGCCCAAGTGCGCTTTGCCAGATAAGGAGACAGTATGTGCTATTCATAGTGCCAGGAAGAGGGCAGGAGTGTAAACCCCTGCCCCGACCCATTGGCTGAAGAACAAGGCATGTGAGTTCACTAAAGCAGGGAAATTGAAATAGACAGGGAAAGTAGGACAAGGGTTTAAGGAAGTTTAGCAGACAACAGCCAAAAGCTGAGATGCTGGCCCTTCCCTCCCAAATGCCCTGCTTCTCTTGAAAGAATTCTCCTTCTATTAATTGAGAGCCTATTCCCTATTGCCAGGCCCGGGCTAAGTGCTACTTCCACACGTCCATTCTGAATAAAAGTTCTTGTGAAGTTTGTAAGATGAAGGCTTGGAAGAAGAAGAAGCAGGTAATTTCACATCCAAGAGCAGCCCACAGGACCATCAGCCACAGAGCCAACCCAGAGCTGCTGGAGTCAGGGAAGGTGCCCTTTCCCTCAGTAGCTGGATTACGGACTGGTACACAGTGATTTATGAAGCAGGGTTCATGGGGCCAAAGGTCCAGAGGCTCCAGAGAGACCTAAGACAGTGGTTGTTTCCCAGCTGTCATGGGCACATTCCAGGATATACCTGCTGGTCGTGGGCATTACAAAGAGAAGAGAACAGAAGTTGCACCTAACTAGCTAGTGGCCAAGTTAGGACTTCTTGATTCAGTGTCTCATCTACCTTGCTGTCTTCGCACAACACTTACAGTCTTTATGTTTCTGCTACTGTTGCTTTGCATGTTTATGTGTGTCCAGGTAGCACTTCCTGAGCCACACCCAACCCACTGCTTAGCAGACAAGGAAGTGACAACACAGGGGCTAAGGCATGGCTTGACCTTGGTGCAGGCAGAGCGGGGGCTGCAAGCTCAGTCTTCCACTCCAGGTACCTATTCAGAAGAGCCCTGTACCTTTCTTGGCCTGTTTTTTGGTGGTCTTGCGGCTTGTGTTAGAGACCCCTGGGATGGACTTTATTTCACTCTTGCTGACAGGGGGTGGGTGGAGGACCAACTTTGGTGGCCGAGTGAGGCACACAGGCAATCCCGCTGCACTCATGAGGATCCCGGTGATTCCTGGAAGGGGCAGGGCAGGGGTGAGGAAGGGCTGAAGAATGTGCTCCCAAGATTCCCACACCCTCCCTCCCGTTTACCCACTCCCCTCCTCTCCAGCAGACAGTTTTTATAATTCATGCATTCTCTACATATGCAGTTGCATGCTTGGGTGTGTGGCTGGATAAAGGCCAGAAAACTGCTTTGTAAGTTGTTCCTCAGAAGCCAAGCACCTCGTTTAAAAAAAAAAAAAAAATTAAATGGGCTTTTGTTCTAACCCTCACCCTCTTAAACCCCTGTCCCTTTATCAAAATGTCTGTGTCCCTCGTTCATGTCTATTTTGCGAACCACTAATTTTGACCAGGGACTTGTGTGTGACTATTAGAGCTTGGTGGGGTATATAACTGAAGGCAACAATCCTCCCTCTCCCTGAATCTATCAGAAAAGCACTAGTTCAACAGGGACATGCAGGGCCCTCTGAGCTCTCCCCAGTCCATTGCTGGTCAATGACACGCCCATTCTTATGTAGGCCCAGTGTAGGCAGCCACAGCTAATGTGAGATCCTGACTGACTGTCTGCATTAGACTTAGAAGGTAGAATTTTACAGCCCTTCTCCCTGTCTTCTGCATCTTACATTCCATGATGTTCCTTGATCCTTAGACAGGATGGTCACCTTGTTTTCTGAGTCAAGGTATCATTGGCCTGGACCTCGCCAGGAAACTGGTGGCCAGCAAACTCCAGGAATCTGCCCATCTCTGCCTCTCAAGCAGGGGGATTATATGCACACATGACTATTCCCAAATTGTTTTCTTCTTGTTTGTTTGTTTGTTTAAGAGGGACTCTGGGATGGAACTATTGCCCTCATACTTCCTGTCACACACTTCATTGTAAGAGCTACCTCCCAAGACCCTGGACAGGCTGAGCTTTTAGCAGCACCCCAAGTCTTCTTGTTCAAGTAAGTCCTCAGATCTCATTTTCTTCAGTTAGCATCCAAATTCTCTCTTTATAAATAAGTATTCATTAGCTATTCCATGACTGATTTTTCAGCCGAAGCCAGTCCAGCCCAGTTTAGTTAGTTCTTACCTGCCAAGGCAGGGTTGACAGGGCTGGACCCATTCAAGTTTTTTACAGGCACAGTGGGGACCCTGTGGAAGGAAAGAGCAGATGTAATATGGCTTTGACAAACAACAAAATAAACCAGTGATTAAACCTACCAAAGTGAGTAGGTTCTTAACACAACAGTGGGAGGTAAGAGGTTCAAAACTGAGCTCCGATCACAACATCCTCCACTCAGAACCTGAGAGTGCAGAATGGGTCCAGTCAAAGCCAGGGTTCCCGGCCCTGCATTGCCTGCCAATACCTCCATTCTCATTCATTAGCCTTCGGACAACCTCTTCTCAACACTTTTCCACTCTCTGTTCTAGCTCCTGCCTCAACTCCTTTATAAATGTTTCTTCTACCTAATATATTCTTCCAAGTCACTGGCCATTTCCACCTACACTCCCCTTAGTGTTGGCTAAAACACAGATCTATAGTCAAAATCGGAGTTATAATAACCCCACCATCACCACCAAATTCACGCACCACAGGAATCTGCATCGCCCCCCCCACCCCCGCGCCCCAAGCTCTTCAAAGAGTGGAGATGTTGCAATCTCTGGTTCAGGATTTGGAAACCACTGCTTGAACAGCTGTCACTTCTTCTTGTCCCACAAACTTATAAACACAAGCAGAATCTCCTCCCCTCCCTGTCTTCCCCAGCTCTGGAGAGGAGCCCACACAGCTGCCTGGGAAAGGCTAGGCCGCCCACAGCGAAAGCACCAACAGAGAAAATACAGGACACATAGAGATGGGACTTGTGCCATTCCAGGCTTCTGCCACCCAGGCTTCCACAGCTGGCTTGGAGAAGCCAGTGGGGCTGGTGATCCATGCCTCTGGGAGCCAGGCAGCCTGAGAATCCAGCTGGGGTAAGGCTGTGCCGGGAAGTCAATTGGAAGAAATCAATATTTATTTATTTGTCTATTTGAAAAGAACTTCTTGAACCCACTTTGGGACAGTTATGCCTAACGTTGGGGGTACAGCTCTTCCTCTATGAGCTATGAGTCACGGGACTCAGATCTGGCTGGGGGCAATTGTAAGTGCCCACAACAGATAAGCCCACTCAGTCCTCCCAATAATCTGTGTACGAGGTGTTACTGTCAATCCCACTACATAGGTAACAGGGTTGGGTACACAGAGGTTAGGACAGCTAGACCAAGATTGCAACTAAGAGTCCAACACACAGTATCTGGCTTCCACTGTGCCGCTCATGATGCCAAGCTCTCCACCGGCCCATGCTGTAACGAGCAAAGCCACCATTAGGAGAGAAGAGAGGCCCAACAGCCAGGTCTCTCTGTCCCACACAGGCCCAGGATGAAGCCGCTCCTCTGGTGCCTCTTCATGAAGACAGAAGCGGTGGAGCTCATAAAAGGACATTATGTTTATATATCTGGCCAAACCAAGATGCTACTTTTTTTTTTTTCTGAACTGCTCCCTGAATAAAGCAAGACCAGATGTGGAGAGGGAAAAGATGTCTTTAAATAAGAGTCACTAGACCAAGAAAAAAAGGAACAGACTTGATTCCAGGTTCAGTAAATGGCCAAACACTGTAAATAACATGCAAATAGTAGGCCAACTGCTTGAGCCTCAGTAGTCTGGGGTTAGAATGTGTCCCCTTAGCAATTTCCCATCAAACTATTTGAGAGGAAGGTGACTCAGAGAAGCCCTGGACCCCCCTCCAGGGCAGATTCACCTTCCAGCCTCCACCTGAAAAGACTTGAAGGGCCGGCCTACTGTGGTATGTTTCCTGGCTGCCCACCGGGGAACAGCATAGGCAGGGCAGCCCCCTTTCACCGTTTCCACGGCGCTCACCTTAGCTGATAAAATACTGTGATCTGAGTGACAAAGGCCACCTTTGTTCCCACAAACTGGACTGGCAGGTTTCCACGCACTACCTGGTCAACGAGGAAATACTTCAATCCTCAGAGCAGCCCAAGAATTGTGGAGTGTGGGGGTCTAAAGAGAGACAGGGGACATCTTCTTGTGGAACCTCTGAACACCCAGGAAAACTGGAATCAACTGGTAGGACCAACCTGCCCCTGTGTGTCAGGAAGGGGACAATCTGGTCCCTAGTCTGTGGCAGCAGTGGAGCTCAGTGCTGTGTTTTACCAAACACCTAACGTGGAGGGAGAAACAGAAAGTGGCGGCTGCATCTGTACTCATCATGCTTTGCCTGTGGCAGTGCTGGCCAGCTCCTTGGTATTCTGCGATCACATCTGCCTGCCTTTACTCCAGCTGTAAACAAGACCTGATAAATGTCTGCTCCCTTGGGGACCCTGTGAGGCCCTAGGATCTAGGTCAAGTAGTTGGTAAACAGGGGAGCCTTGTGCAAATTTGGGCAACTGTTTACACTTTTACTTTCCAATTGTTGAAGGATTTGATTTCTGCCACTTGCTGCTTTAATAATCCAGTTTTCTCACATTCTTGAGCACACGGTATCAGGTGTAAAGGGCAGAGCTAAAAGTCTAGCAGGATGGAGGATTGTGAGCAGGCAACACCCGCCTACCCTTCCCCCACAGTTCCAGGTTAAAATAAAAACCCCAGAAAACCTGTCCTTTGCCCGTAGGGCCTCAGCTATTTGAGTCTGAGCCCCTCCTTCTAGGAAACAGCAGTCCAATAACAGGCCTGCTTCTACATCCTCCAGGCAACTCAGCCAAAGCCCTTGGACTTAGCCGTGTGCTGGCCAATCAGAAGACAGCCCTTCCCCCATCCTCTTGGGCTGTTACCGGTTATAGGAGGGTCCACGTTTTTATTTCCATTGATAAAATAAAACTGAGGAGAGGAGCTAACACAGCAATGGCAGGGCAGCCTGAATGGGGATGGGGGTGGGCGTATCCCTGCAGACCCCATGGTGAGAAAGCTAGTGTTTTCTAAATTATTCACCAACCCAGGAAGCCTCATGAAGGACAATGGCTTTGTCTCTAAGGCAACCAACAACCATGCCTAGCTGGAGGTACAGAAACCTGGACTCTGGGGGGAGAGGGGTGATTGCTGCCCTGCACAGGCCTCCACACCCCTTTTAAGAACCTCCTGCTTGTGTCTGAATAATTCACGGCATCTTTTGTTCCCTGCCAAGACTTTCATCCCACATTGCCTGCCTCCCTGATCTTCCTCCCCGTACCCCCACCCCCCTGTGGGAAAGTGTTGCTTGAAGAGGTCATGGGCAGAGAGGATGGGGACTGGCTGTGTAATGACAGAAGGCTGATGGCAATGCCAGACAAAGGGGATAACACACGCTCATTAGTGGCCAAGAAAAGCTGGAAAAGGAGATGGCAGAGGGGCGTGGGAGGTGGAGAAAGGTGAGAAGAGAGGGCTGGAAGACAGACAGAGGTGGGAGGGCACTCCCTGTCAGGAAGACAGAGCAAAAGCAGCTCATTTCTGTAGCCCTTTGAAAGTGCAGTGCGTTGCCAGACCCACTCCTCTGTCCAGCTTGGTAGAGGAATAAAGGAAAGAAATGAAGCCTGCTGACTTCCTCAGACTCACAGCAGTTCAAGGGGCATCTGTCTCCATGATGGCATGGGGTTACTGGGGCATTTATCAAGCGGGACAGAAATGAGGTGTAAATTGGATCAGTTCAGCTTTGACTTCAGTTCAGTAACAACACAAGTGTATAACCTTTAGATACATCATCATCATCTGCAGCTAACGACCACTGGCCTCTGGGCAGTCTCTAAACTGAAGGCTTCATTTAACCCTTGTGACACCCTAGAACTGAAGTACCATTATAAAGTCACTCGACAGCTAAGAACACTGAAGACAGAGGAGGCAAAACTTACTCCAAGTGGCACAGTAAGGAACTTGGGTTCAAGTGCAGCAATCAGGGGGCTCACATGTGCACACAGAGCCTCCTCCTGTGTGCCAACAATCACCCGGAACTCTGCTAGAGCATCTGGCACTCTGCTGCAATCCAAGATAGAGGAGCAGCAGGATCCATGCACCTCTTTCCTTCTGTCCCCTACGTCACCATGGAGGAAGTCATGAGCACCCCATGCCTCTAACTAGCACTGTAAGCTGCCTTCATGTAACTGAGGCTATAGCAGAAACATTGACCAGTCAGTGGACAAAATCTTGTCTTCCAACCTCTGCACCATAGGAGCTGGGTGACCCTCCAAGGAGAGACAGATCTTAGCAAAGTGCCCATCCCTAACGTAAATCAGTGAAAAAAGTGGGACAGTATGGACAAGCACGTCTGGGACTTGTCAAGGAATCAACTCTATCCATGGAGGTCTGCACAATAATCCCATGAGCAGGGTATACAAACTTGGGATCGTCTGACACACAAGGACACCGACCCTTGCAAAGACCCAAGGGCTTAAGTGAGAGGCAGGAATAGAGGCTGTTCCAGCCTAGTGCTCCCCGCTTCAGCTGCATGTCTCCTTTCATTCCCTGCCCTGTGCTAAGTCTTCCCTATGCTAAGATGTTTGGAGACCCAGCTGAGCATCTATGGCACTGCCTTGGGGCAGCCTGGGTTTTCAGTCTAGGGACCCATTCCAGCTCTAAAGCCATCTAAACTACCTGAGGCACAGGGCAATTGAGTGTGATGGGCTGACAAGAAGCCAGCATGTCAGACAAAGGCTGTTGCAGGCACTGCGGGGCCTGGGCACTCCCATTTGGTGGATGAGGGGTATCAAGAACATAAGAAACACTAACGGTACCTCCAACAGCACCAGCATGTCTGAGAATGCTGAGATAGGGCATGGATGAAGCAATCCTTGCTTGGCACCTACTGTATGCCTGTACTGACAGAAATGTCTGGTAGGGAAGGGCTACTGCAAGGCCAGACTCCTATAACATATCTGATTTCCTTCATCTGTGAAATGGGATAATGTTTGCAGAGTCATTACAAAGATTATAAAAACCATTAAACCAGAGCACAGTGGAAGTTCAACTAATGCTAAGACTTCCTAGCATAGTCATCTGTACCCCTCACTGGGACTGTAACATGGGTATGTCTGCAGTGTTTACTAACGATGAAGTTACAGCTTCATGTGTGGGTCCTGCCTCAGACCACATGGCAACCAAGAGACAAAGCCTCAGTTGTGTCCAGACCTCTAATGTGGCACCCCTCCTTGTCCACACTCTGCTAGCTTCCATCTATCTGCCAGGGCGGCTCAGCCTGAGAAGACTAGGTTTGCCTGTTTTAGCCAGCCTCCCTTGCTGTCTGACCCAGAGATGAGTCCCACGCCATCTCTGAGGTGGGTAATTGCTCTGTGGCAGCCATGGGAACACCTACCCCGAGGCAATCAGCACCCGGGACTGGGCAATGGCCAGTCGCTGCAGGCTGGACCGATTCAAAGTGGCCAGTGCCACCCTTCCAGTCTTCCTGTTGCTTCCTTGTGGGCTGGTGGGGGAGCCCACAGTTGCCCCAGATGGTGTATTAGAGACTTGTCTGCGGATCACCTGCGATGGGGCAGTCTTCCCTGGGCCCCGGATGGTGCCTGCAGAGTCTGGTGGTTTTGCCCCAGGGCCAGGTGGTGGAGGCAGCTTGCCCACTCCAGAGGGAGCCATGTTCTTGCGTGTTCCTGGAGGCTGAAGGGGCCCAGTGCGCCCATGGACCACAGCTGCCTTGACGCTCATCACCAAAACACACTGTGGACAGGAACAGGGTGGTGCAGGGGGGGAGGTGGTTGTTCCAGGACTGACTGGCCAGGACTGAGCCTTAGGCATAGCGCCGGTGACCATGGGGTAGATGAGGTCTAGCCGGCGGCGGACACGGCGTTGGCGCTGGGTCTGCCTGTTGATCTGACCCATGGTGTTGAAGTCAATGATGTAGCTGAAGCCGATGGAAGTGAGGTCAATCCAGGGGTGCTGCTTCTCATAGGCGTGCTGGATGGTGATACCCACTTCCATATCATAGGGCGTCCAGGAACCATTGTCATTCTCCCACTCCCACACCACACCCTTCCCAGGGGCTGAGGATGGGTCGTAGTAGTTTCGGCGGACTGGCCGTAGCGTGCCTGTCAAAGTAAGACAGCGGAGGGGTCAGAGTTAGGAGAATACCACTGATTTGTACTAGATTCACAGGTAAACATTAACAGCAGTCCTACTGTATGGCGGGCCCTGTGCTAGCTAGGAAGGCTCTGAATAAGACTCAGTTTTGAATGCGACACATTCGGGATTCTACAAGCAGTCCAGAGTAGAAGCAGATGAAGCCACATGGAGGGCACAGGAAGCGTTGCCAAGCAGCAGAACGCACCTCCAAACTCAGGATTCAGGTGCATTAGTTTGTAGATAAATCTCTTCATTTTCCAGCTAATACAGACTACCTCAGTCAATTCTTGTTCAGAGAAAGGATAACTCTTTCCTGGGAGTTTTTATAGAAAACAAACTAACAAACACTAGAGGCGATTATGTAGTTACTGCATATGAATTCACATATGCCAGGATTTCTCCGGTAACTCTCACTTGGGAGAGAAGTGCCCTCATGCAGGAAAGTGCTCATATGCCATCTTTGTTCTTCTGAATAGCCCTGCCCTTGGGGCTATGGAGGAAAAGAACAAAGAACCATGGAAGTCCAGAAGATAGGAGGACAACTTTGCTCCCATCTAAAAGGCCAGGGGTTATGGCAATGAAGCTGACCGAGGTTCTTTCACAGGCTTTAGAAAGAGGGGATAACCGGATGCTGAGATGGCTCAGTGGGTAAGGGGACTTGATTCTAAACCCTGGATCCAGTGCCAGGAACTCACATGGTAGAAGGGAAAACCAACTCCCACAAGTTGTCCACTGATCTCCACACACATGCCATGGCTCAACCTATCTCCTACCCTTCCAAAACAAATAAATGTAAAGACATTAAGATGAAAATGTATTATTGGGAGATGGGTCATCATCTTGAGAGAACTCTGACCTAATTCCCAGAATTAAGTCTTTTATCAGTAATAATAACATTCATTTCACAATTATGTAAGGGTTTCTTCCAAGAAACTCAACCCTTCTAAAGATAGCATCCTCTTCATTTTAGTAGTCTCCCTGTGGGGTTGGAAGGGCCAGGGTGATAACAAGGTAACAGGACAGCACGGATGACCCAGAGGGCCCACAAGAGAACTGGACTACAGAATTTCTGCCTCTTTTTCCTCTACCCACCCCAATCCCAAATTCTGTCTCCAACCAGGACTCATTTCATGGCATCAACATCAAGGCTCAAGGCTGAAGAGGGCTCTGAGATACTGGGGGTCCCTGCATCTGCCAGCTTAAGTTCTATCTGTGGAAGTGGTGGGAAAAGGCTCCCCTTTCCTGGCCTCTGACCCACCCCTTCCCCCAACTCAAAGGGAGACACCATGACTCGGACAGAATCCCATTCAAGAGGGAAAGAAAGGAACAATGGTTATTCAGGCCTTTGCCAGGGTCATAACCTACTCCCCATCCCATCTCCAAGCCCCTTAATAACCCAAAACATCAACATTCAGAGGCACAAGGGAGAAGCAGAACAATTCTCCATTCAGTGCCAGGACCTCTGTTGGGGGCCCTAGGGTATCAGGATGGAGGGGGGGTGGAGTTCCCGGGCTAGCCTTCATTTCCTTCCTCAGCAAGCAGGTCAGCTTTCTGGGGAACAAAGCACAGGGTCCATGGAGGAGGTTCTATTCCTTCCTGCTGTGGGAGGAAGTCTTCTCTCCTCATCCCTTAGGTCTGTGCATAGCTGAAACAGGTGGATTTGAAGATTAAATGAAATACAGCACTACAAATAGGAACCTGTCACACAGCAAGTGCTCAATGAAATGGTGATCATTAGTGTAGTTCACCCTTGAGATGTTATAGGAAAGTGCGGTTTAGAGGACACTGTGTGTGTGTGTGTGTGTGTGTGTGTGTGTGTGTGTGTGTATGTGTAGAGGGGAGAAATGGGGGGAAGAGAAAATAAAAAAGCAACCCTGACCTACATGCACAGTCTTTACTCTTGGTCACTCACAGGAACCCATTCTATATAACTTCCATGGCAATCCTATAAAACAGCTTTTACAGATAAGAAAATTAAGTTCAGAGAGTTTAATGACACCTTTGGAACTTCCCTCTAGGGAATAGGGGCAATGCACTTGATTGGTGCTTACAAATGCACTTGAAAAGCATTTTTGTTTGATCGATTGATTCTTAGACAATGAAGTTATCAATCCTGGAAAAGTTTGAATATGGTATCTGAACTCTCTAGACCACGTAGTGACTTGATTCACCCTACTTTATCTCTTTCTATCCTTTGCATTTCCCACTATTTCTGTCAAGTACAGAATCCCTTAATTCTCATGTATTCCATCGTGACTCCCCAACTGTACCACAACCTTTCCACTTAGAGCCTCTTGTCATTTTCACCTACTGAAATTCTCTTTCAGTTCTTATGCCGGTGTTCACCCACTTCTTGAAATGTTCTAGTCCCAGCCCCACCCCTCAGGAAGTTTTAGGTGCAGAACTGGACTGATTGTTTTCAGATGTCTAAGCTTACCCTCCTTATAGGTGCTGAGTGGGGGTATGGATATAGCTGTGTGGCTCTTTGTATTCTACTTCCTACTGCAACGTCTGGCAGTTATAAAAGCACCATAAACTGTGCCATGATTGACTGAACACTCTGGCTACTATCATATTTACTCATTGATGGCATATTGCTCAGCATCCCATTAGTTGCTATGGAGAATGCAAAACTCAAGCATCTCTTAAGCAGAGTGCAGACTCAAAAGGAGTTAAAAGGCAAATGTGTGAGTCGTTGTTTATGATGCAAAATGAGCCAAAAAGACACCAAGGAAACACAAGTCACTAGGGAAAAATGACTGGACCTCTTCTCGGCTTAAATCTTCCCAGATTTTTGTCTTCAGCCAAGACCAAAATTTCCTGCCTCGCCAACATCTATAGCTCCTTCCCCCACACACTCTGCATGCATTTCTTTCACACTGGCTTCCAGTCTTCCCCATTGCTGTTCTCTGACTCTGGGACTCTTCACCATGCTAGGTCCTCTCTCCTGATCACTCAGCAAGTTCTTTGCTGGCTCTTTCAGGTTAAACTGAACTCATTTCACCATATGGAAATTTTTGTGACCAAGTCAAATCCTGTTCCCAATTTTTAACAGCACTAATCTCTACATGCAGTTTGCACATTTATCTGTGTGGCTAGTTGGATCCAGACCTGCCTCCCTTCCTAGATTGTCAATCTGATAACAGTAAGCATAAAACTGTTTGCCCTGGTTTTGTTGCACAGGCTTGACATTTACAGTAAGCATAAAACTGTTTGCCCTGGTTTTGTTGCACAGGCTTGACATTTATGGAGCCTAAGGGGCTCGATAAAATGTGATTAGTAACTGAAGTGATGATGGTTTGCAGAACATTAGAAGAAATAGATAACGAATGACATAAGGTTTGAAAGATAAAGAGAATTTCAATAGTCAAATGGAAAGAAAGGGCATCACTTCAAGGGACAACCATGTGAACAGGTGGGGTGGAGAAAAACTCAGAACTACTGGGAAAATCTAAGGCACAGAGGACCAAACTAGAGTCAGGGCATGGAAAGTCTAGAACATCAAGCTGTAATGTGCTTTGTTTGGGGGTAAGGAAGAACTAATGGGGAGTTTTAGTATAAGTGACAAGCCCAAAACTGCTCTCCCAGTCAGTTCAGAGTGGGTGGGCAGGTGTTAGAGAAAGCAAAAGGAGAGGTGGGGATACCCCATGAAGAGGACTGGGAAGGACCTGAGCATGGACAGCCACATGCTCTGGAAATGATGTTTCAAGGCTGCTTGTTCACAACCCGGACGGGCCCAGCAATGACCCAAGGCCCAAGAGCCTTGGTCTAGGAATACACTTCTCTTTGTATTCATTAAAATTTCAACCAATGGGCTTACACATTTTGTATTCCTGGACACATTAGCCACTTGGGCTCTGAGTAAGAGAAGGAGTCAAAGAATCCTGAGGCTGACCTCAAGGATACTGCAAAATGGTAACAAACAGAAGAATGTAAAGACCAGCTAGTTTTTTTTTTCCAGAGAAAGTTGCTGGATTTAGTTCAGCCTGACAGGTAGTCATCAAAAATATACAACCTCAGAGCCAAAAATTTGGGAAAAGAGAGAGGGTGGGATTTTATTCCTGGAGTCTGCTTTATTTGGGATATCCTAGCCCTGGGCTTTTCTAGAATCAGGACCATGGATTAGACAGTATGAAGCAGTCCCATTTTATCCTATGGTGTGATGTCCCAGAGAGAAGGTTCCCAATTCAGTAGGCATAGAGGATGTTCATAAACCAGAGGAAGGAGAAGGAAAAAATGCTTTCTCCCAGCAACCCACACCAGCATCTAATGGCATTGAAGATGTTTTGTCTCTTGGGAACTAGGAGACTGCTCCAGGCATGGACTGATGTCCCTGACATGTGACCCACACCTGTGCTTTTTACCATCTACGCTGTCAAACACTCAGCTTCTCTTATCAGTGTAGACTTCACCTCACCCTCAGTGTAGAATGTTCCATTCGGGCAAATTCTTGGATGTTCTATTACCAAGATGCCCCCCACACCTGCCACTGCACATATAGCTAGGCCACAGTGCTCACACATGCAGGAGGCATACATGGGACACTTCACTGGACTCAGCTCTGTCATTGACAAATAACTTGAACTCTTGAGCAATTTAAGCTCCTTCAAGTTGGTCCTTTTTCTATAAAATGGGAATAATTAGTCTTCATATAATCCTTGTAAAGATTAAACAAGACACCTGTGCAACTTGCTTGGCATATCACAGACATATCTCCTCTATACTGTAGTGTCCACGTGGTAATTGTAAAGTCTACCTCCTCCAGTCCTGGGCCCATACTAGGTATTAAGCAATAGGGGAGATTTTGTCAAATCTTGTTATCCCACTCACTCCAATGGGGCCTTCTCACTACACTAAAGATAAAAAGAGACAGGCTAGTTCTAAAAACTTTGAGCTGGAAATAATTCTGCCTTGCATGAATCTACTTCCATTAGCATGGCTGCTGGTGCAGGGGGGTCAGGCAATGCATCCGCAGATGCCTATGCTGGAAGAAAGGGACTCTGAAAGCTTCTCTTCAGCCCACAAAGGAAAAGGCCTGAATAGTTACGGGAAGGCCTCACTACAAAAGAAAAGGGAAATGACACTAGAGGACTTTGGATGGAGAGGACTCCACCAAGGCTTACTGACTGGTCCGGAACCCCCCTCCTTCTTACCTTCTTCAATATTCTCCAGCCCAAATGGCTAGAGAAAAGTAGCCTAGAATGCAAATCAGCTCCTATCTGCCAAAGTCTGGGGAAGGGAAACCCAGGGCAAACAGAAGCAGGCAGATGGGAGTCTGCAACCTCCCAGCCATCTCCCCGGAGACAGTCTGGATGCAGTCAAGAGCTCTGAGAGATCAAGCTCACGAGGTATCCAGGCATACAACTCTGAAAAGAGAAAGCTCTCATGTCAAATGCCTATAAAACAAGACAACCAAAGAGAGAGGAATTGCCTCTAGGCAGGGAACTTCCAGCTAGTCTGTCTTTATAGGGATTTTTTGTTGTTGTTGTTGTTCCCAGCTTTACAGTGTAGCTTGGGGACAGTGAGTAATTTAATTAAACATTGCCAGGGCTTGGCTGAGGTTGCCTGGGAGCTGGTGGCCTAAAGTTCCTACTATGTCATAGTCTCATCAATGATCTATACTGAGAGGACAGAGTTCTTGTGTGGACGAAGAAGGGAGCAGAAGGGGGTCAGAGTTGACATGAAGGAATTCTAATCTGCACTGACAAGCTCCGTGACAGGGCCAGCCTTTCTAGGAAATCAGCCTTATTTATGCCTTCAGCATCCCAGGCTAGCACTTGGCATGGAGGAGAGAGGTACCTAGGAAGTGATCTTGATACAGGGGAGAGGGGATGAAGCCAAAGCCGTGTGGATGTGAGACACACAGGGCATCTTTAAAAGGATGTAGGCAGGAGGAGGCGGTGCACATATGTAGTCAATCCCATCACTTGGGAGGCTAAGGCATGTGACTGGCCACTTTGAGGCCAGCCTGAAGTAAATACCTAGATCATATTTTAAAAAGAGGTGCAGAGGCAGAAGGAACAGCTCAGTGACAGAGTCTTGCCGAGGATCATGGCTAGTTCTCAGACACAGACATAAAACAGGATTAGTTGAAGTGCTGAGTGACCTGCTATAACCACTAGGCTATAGGTTACCCCCCTGAGAGGAGCCACCAGCAGCCAGACCCTGGGAAGGAGATAGTCATTCAGTCCAGGTTCTCTAGAACTTCACTTTTGGCAAGAATATCATCTAGGTTACGGCTGCTTCTAGTTTTATGTCCATCTTAAATAGTCCCAAATACAGATGAAACCTCTGACTTCCTAACAGTGGGGCAGAGGATAGGGCTTGCCCATTACTAGAATGTCTCTCCATATGCTGCACAGACTTGGTCTGAAATAGAAGAGCTAAACTTGCTGTTTTATTTTGAGCAGGCCTGGAACTCCCTGTCAGGTGGTCTGCTGATCCCACTTCCATGGCTCAGCTGCTTCCTACACACACACACACACACACACACGCACGCACGCACGCACGCACGCACGCACGCACGCACACACACACCGCACACACACCACACACACACACACACACACACGCAC